TGTCCTTGAGTGTATGTGTATCATTTTGATGCTTTTCTAAAAAAGAAGTATGCATTTGTAGAAATTTGTTGCCTACTCAGTATTAGAATAACTCATCTGTTTGCTTTAGGTCTTCCCTTAAAACCTATAAATATGCCAATTTTACTATTCATGGAGTGTTTTGCTGAGTTTTCCCATGGATCAAATGTAACATGTATCATTATGGTGGATAAATGGGCTGGGCTACCTTGTTACTTGCCATACTTTCTCATGATAGTTACACCCTTTTCTAAGCAGAGGCCACAAGCCTTATCAGCCACTGCAAGAGAATCGGCTGTGGTTTGAAGCTTTCTCGTTTTCACGCAGCAGTGGGATAGACAGGAGATCTACAAGTCATGCTTTTACTCCCCTATTATTTCATTATTTTCATTATGTATTATTCATTTTGGCTAAATAAAATATGGTTGATTATTTTTGCTCTTTAGCTACGGGTCAAATAAGCAAGGACGGATTTATTGAGATATACACACACAAGTTGAAGTTAGATGCCGACATGCGAGAGCTTCGCGAGGCCTTTCGTGCACTTGATAAGAAGAAAAAAGGAGAAATTGATGTGGAAGACATCAGGTGAGCTGAAATTCCAAAGTACCTCCTCTGAATTAGATTTTAAATCAATCAACTAATCATAATTGAATACTGAGTAATTAGAGTATTATAAACAATTTACATTATAAATACATAGTATAGCACAAAAAGTGGTCATGGCGTACTCTTTTACCTCTATTCTCCCGATAACATCATGCCCTGGCATCTATAGTAAGCACAAATCTCAATTTTACACGCTTAATGACTACTTCTTGACAGACTGTTAGCGACTGGTGGGATTGTACTGAGTTTGTCATAAAACTCTCTATCAAACTGTTCTTGTTTTGTAGATGGATATTGCGAAGTCTCGGCAATGAGTTGACTGAAGAAGATATTGATGCAATGATCAGAAGCGCAGATGCAGATGGTTCAGGAGCAGTTGATTTCGAAGGTAAAGACAACTTTTAATTTACCATTTTGAAGACGATTTGAGATTTTAAGGTAATTCCATGTAAATCTAGTTGCAATAAAGTAGAGGAAAGTTTTTAGTCTGCTTAAAAAGTTCACTACGCCTTGCAGACGAGCTTGTCCTAGGATAAGCATACCATCACTACATCCAAAATATGTTGACTCATTTGACTTGCACGAAAAGGCCGAACAAATTATATATCGATAATAAACTGTGATATGGTAAAATTTCCCTTCAATATATTGGTGGAGAAGGGATTGTTTCGCTTTGGAAGTCATGGCTTTCTGTAATTCAAAGGGTATGGAAACGCGCGGCTTAGAAGATACCGAATTTTCCATTGAACCTGCGCATTAGGTTCTACTTGGGCTGACGTTGCGGATGAGACCTAAGCAAAGTTAGAGCTACCCTCCATTTCGAAAGACAGCGGTACCCACTTGACTCATTGCTATTGGAGTTTACGCCCAGAAACAAGCCTTTCCTCATTACTTATAAAGCACGCAGAAAGTCGTATCCCTTACGTCAGGGGTTTCTTACTGTTAAATTGGATATAGGCTGAATCGAATTTTGATACCATCTCTACTAGTTTGGGCACTTTATACATGTCCATCTGGATCAACTTATTGGTCGTCAGTTGCTCTGCAATTTCCAAGACTTAATTTGTATTTACAACGGGATGT